CACTTTTCCGCTGTAGCTACACAGCCAACGCTAGAGGGCGCGTAACGTTAGCTGTGTAGCTACAGCGGAAAAGTGGACACGATTCTCACCCCTGGTTCAGTGTGTTGAATGCTGCTGAAAAGACAACGGCAAATCTCGTTAGCAGTAGCCAATTGTCACAATTGCCGGTTCTCTCTTGTCTTCACAAACAGCGTCAATTGCAATCAATTCGCCGCCTCAAGTCGGGTGCAGCTTTGCTTGTGTACACGTTCCCCAGCCCCTTCCCAGGCGAGTGTAGTGGCCGCCTATGGTAGTGAATGACAGTCTTTCTCGCAACTGACAGGCATTACAGGAACTAACAAAAAAAACTAACAAGAGAAAAAAGACAAAGACAAAAGACAAATAAATTTAATTACATTCACTAGTGAGCACAACGGAAAAACGGCGAAGGTGTAGAGAAGGAAAGCTGGAGAATTCAGAGCGGAGAAGAAAAAGAGACCACTGGGTGAAATTAAATATTTACGAAGAACGATCGACATAGTCAGGCAAGCTACGGTGGGTGATGCGCCGCAGCACACACTGCCAGAACAAAATTAACAACTGGCAGAGAGTACTGCAGTCGGAAGTGAGTGGCTGCGGAAATTGCCCATTGAAAGATTCATTCGCCTGCCTGCTGTCTCGCTCGATTGCTGAGAATTAAAAGACTAAACTGGACAGAGCAGAAGAGAGCTGATGCTGCTGCTGTGTTATTGAGCGACTAACGACGTAAACGAGAACGAGAAAGAAAAAGTGGATGTGAACATGTTCAGGTCATTTAGTAGAGTAGAGCAGAAAGCGGCAGCTAATGCTAAAGTGAAATGGGCACTCGCTAACGACTATGTTGCCGGTGAAAGCAAGCAGGTGCCAGCCAAATTGAGCCAGACTTTCATAACGCATAGTTTCCAGCATAAAACATCTCCTGCTGGCAGTCAATCAGCAGTGGAGCATCTCGTTTCAACGGAAACGCCAGTTGAAAAAAGAAAAGTAGAGTATAGTAGTAGCGTAAATATCATTGTGATAATAACAAGAACACACGCACATTCAATGTACAGTTCACGGCTCAAAAATATACACTTTGAACAAAGGACAAAAGGAAATCTCCCACTCAAAACAGCGAAAGGTGATAAAATAGGCAAATGGCAAGTGTAAGTGCTCTCAAAAGAGGCGGTTCAGCAGCAGCGGCAGCGGCAGCGGCATTTCTGTAGGTCAATGCCAGGCAAACCTGTGATGCCGCAAATGTGAGTCAAGTGAAATTCCTGCTGTGCTTCATTCATTTATTGTCATTCACTCAGTCGCTTGGAGCAAAGCACCCACCGACTACGACCGATGATGGCGTCAAGCGCGCTGCAATGATGGCTGCCTGTGCAAACACACCATCGATGACGGTGAAGAAAAGGAAGAACAGGCTCCGTAGTGAAGTAAAGCGAAGTGTACATACACACAAATGAAAAGACACCAGTTCTTTCTGTTCGCCCACGCAAGGGCTAGGCCGGCCATAATAATAATGACAGAAAACTGTGGCAAGCCAAATCTAACTATTATTATTATTACTTTTACCATTTTATCCTTCACCTAATATTCTTCACATATTATTATTATTTCACTCATTCCCCACACACAAACACATTATCCTTCACCANGAGCGGCCCCCTGACAGCGAACACATTTTCCCTTCCAACCGACACACAGACACACACTTCACCTCACTCCGGATCATACACTCACCGAGGCAAGACCTCACGAGAGATTTCCACGAGTCACCCCAATAAACTCTAAAACCCTTTTCACCCGAATCGTCCCCCAGCTGCAGCATTCCGGTCCAGCCAGCAAGCGCTGCGAATCCGAGCTCACAACCGGTTGCCACAAAACATTTAAAGTTTAGTTGTGGTGGTGGGGGAGGCGGCAATGGCGGCAACCAATAAATAGAAAACCCAATGCATGGAATTCTCTGAGCGAGTGCAATGACGCCGACAATAATGATGATGCCGTTTTCACTAATTCGATTAGGCAAAATAAAGGTAAAAACTCACTTATTTTATACCGCATGCTTTCATTCTGATATTCCGTCGGTATTGCACTACTAAGGTCACACACGTTATTTACTAAAAACGTACGCAAAGATAATTAAGGACTTATAAAAATATTCTCTCAGTAAATTGTAAATTGCCACAAAATAAAAGTACAATGAGTTTATGAGCAGCAAGTCAGCACCTACTAAAAAGTAAATGGAAGGTTACTAAACAACGTTTAACTAATGGGCTACATAAAATTCATTGTATTCCGGGAAAGTCATGTGAAGGGCAACGCTGAATGTTTTACTAAGGTAGCCAAATAAATGTTAAATAAAATGCCTTTTTCAATTTGTCAAAAACACAAGCAGCAATCAACTTTACGACCAGATGAAATTTCTCCGGTAGTATTGAAAAGCAGTGCAATAAATCACTTTTTCTTTTTACAGCATAAACTTGCACAGAGCAAGCCAGATGTGCCAAATAAGTCTGCTATGCATTCACCATTCTCATCGTCGTTGCCGCCGCCATTTTCCCCAACGCCAGACTTTTTTCGATATGTTTATGCAAATTTTAATTTTAAGTCCACCGTCTTGCAGGCAATGCAAACTGACTGGCAGCAGATGTACTGCGTGTTTTCAATGCAATAAACTAGCAAATGAACAGTTGAACAGGAAAAAATAAAATTTCAATATTTTTACTACTGATTTTCTGCGCAACGGAAAAGAGCATTCCCAGAATATGTGGTGTTTGTGCAAATTAAATTATCACTGACATAAAAACATCCAGACGTTAGTAGAACTGGACTACAGTAAAGTATCAAATGTGCCCTGAATTTTTACTTTTAAATTCCAAGAAGTGGATGATTAATGGTAGAACATGTTTCACTGAAACAGTACACTGAAAGTTGAGTAGCAGGCAGACAAATGAAAAATAGTTAAAAACTAGTGATTATGGTTTGCGTGATTCAATTAACTAAAAAATTCAAACACATTAAAACAAGACTTGTTTTTTCCTCCACTTGACCATTAACATCTGTACATTATGTCAAGGTCATAAAGCACTAAATCGTGCAACAATGTACAGCAAAAGTTTAGCGAAAAATAAGCTAGACACGCGCGTACACATTGCGATGAATGAACTTGAAAATGAAAGTGGTGTTAAGCCTCCTCTTTTTCTTTTCTACTTTTCTGCCTCTTTAGTCAAAGCTAGCAAGTCAAATACGCGCTACGAATAAACAAATGCGGCACTCTTCATTGGTCTGCCTGCCTGGTCTGGTCTGGCCTAGTGGGCTGTGCACTCAAGTGGCTGCCGTCAAAGTGTACTACTTACCAGTTGATATGTGGTGAGTCCGATGACTTCAATTTGGCCGTCGTTGGTGCTCTGCGGATCGTAGCTCGAGGAGGGCGCCCATGGCCGCGTGCCGCCGCTGTAACTGTAAAGGGAAAGAAAAAAGCCTTAGTACGCTCAAATGATCGGGTGTATGGTGGAGAGGCTGTTTCTGCTGCAGTTGCTTAAACGCTAATGGGGCACATGTCTGCAGGCTAAAGAAAGGAGAAGAAAGGACTGCCGGATTCGAGTGGAGCTTTGGCTTGCATAAGACAGTGCTGGTGCATACTGAGCAGATTAGTGAGCACACTGTCAGCTAGCCAGCCATTCTGGCCTCAGAAAACTCTGGGCAAAGTAAGTCAGTGAGTCAGTCACCCACACTGTAGGAGCTGTACAGCCTGCCTGTCCGCCTCTGTTTGCCTTCATTACTGTGACGACGCTTATTGGTGAATAATTTATAACGCAAACAGCCACTGGCCGTGAAGAGTGGTGGCGGTCATGTGGAGGACAGAGTCCTGCAATGGTGGCCAGTCAGTCAACAGTGGCAGAGCTATGTACAAAGTCGAACTCACTCGGTGTTTGCTTAGGTAGGAAGAGGAAGAAGAAGAGGAAGAAGAAAACGAGAAATAAACAATTTACCAAAGTAAACGGAACGAAAAAGTAGAGAAAAAGAAGCTGCAACAAAAACAGTAAGCTGCTGCTTCTTGGTCCAAAGTCGACGGTTTATTAACCAAACAATCAGTCTTCTGGGCTACATCTAGTCTTTTTCTTTCTTTCGCCTCTTTTCTAGTTACAGTACCTCCAGTTAACTAGTCCTGACAAGTGCTGCCTGTAGTGTCCACCATCGTTTTCAATTTCAAAGTTAACACATAAAAACAGTAGTGGTAGTGTGACAGTAATTGGCAGCGTCCGAGAACTGCAAAAAGTGGTAGCCACTGCAAGCAATGAGAGCCTGGCAACAGAGCAGCTGACAACAAAGTTGCCTTCAGTAGGCGCATCTCATCATGATGACTCGGCAGCAAAAAGTAAAGACAACTTTTGTTGCCGTCAAAGATTGGTAATAAATTAAACATAAGCTTAATGCAATTCATCTGACAGACAGAGTGGCAGCCAGTCAGTGAACTTTTAAAGCACTTGTCTGCTGATCATTAGGTATTCTCAACAGCAACAAAGTCAAGACTTCCACTTACCTGGGTATGTTGAGAAAGAGCACTGAGTGGACCTTGAGCTCCTTCAAACGTGACGTGTAGTCGACGCCATCGCAGACCAGTTTGACGTAGTTGCTCAGGTCTTTCCACTTCCGCTGCATCAGATCCTTGCTGCCTGCCTGTCCGTAGAAGATGCGATTCTTAAAACGCGAGTTGAAACGCTCCGGATGCGCTTCACGAGCCTCGTGAAAACTTAACGCAATGTGCGCGTCCACGCCAATTGAGAAGTAGTTGTTGACGACATTCAGTGGCAAATCAGGCTTGGCGCCCTTGGCCTCCTCACCAGAAGAATGGGCCGCTGACACGTGGGGATTCCGTTGCACCTTCAGGTTCCACCGGTCCAACTGCACCACCTCGCCATCCTGAATGTTGCAGAGAATCTTCGACACCGGCTCATCAGTGTAGCTGGCGCCCCAGTTGATGGAACGGGCAAGGTCATTGCCGGTGCCCAGCGGCAAAACGGCAATGGGCGGCGGTGGAACGATGCCAATCTCGTCAATGGTGGAGAGGACCCAGCCAGCTGTGCCATCACCGCCACAGGCAAGCACCCTCAGATTGTGCACCTTCTTGTAGAGATCCAGCCCGAGTCGGGGGCCACCCTGAGAGAGGTCAAAAACCTGTCGCGGATTGAGATGCCACTGAAACTTCTGCATCAGCTTGGCACCCTGATTGCCGCCGCTCTTTGGATTGATGAACACTAGCAGCGGCTTCAGATTGGGTGATGGTATTGGCTTGATGGTGAAACTCCGGTGGACCGTCTGTAGGTAGTGCGATGTGCTGACGGAGTGACCGTACGGCAGACCACCGCCTCCTCCGTCTTTGCCTTCCGCAGAGAGCAGTCCAGAGCTGGTGAGACTAGAAGCGGAGACGGCGGCGTGACTGTGCCGTCGGTACTGTCGTCGACTGCCACCTCCACCAACACCCCCACCGCCACCACCGCCTACACCCATGGGACTAGGGACCATTGCACCGTAGAGATGAGCAGGCCCACCACTCATTTCACTGATCTGTCCGCTATTGTGCTTGCTGTAGTAGTGACTGTGCGCACTGCCAGACGGTGGTGGTGGTGGTGGTGGGGTGAAGGAATGAGCAGGTAGTTCAGGTGCAGGTGGAAGGGGAGGAGGTGATGGCGATGGTCCTCCAGGGGAAGTGGTACTGGAGCCACCGCCTGAAGAGCTATTGCCGCCATTGTGCGCACCCATGAGAAAGGGAGAAGGCGTCTCGGAGAGCGTTGCAGAGGCGGCACCGGCACCAGCACCAGCACCATTACCACTGCCCTCCTGATGAAGGCCGAGAATCACAGAAGAGGGCGAAGGTGAAGAGCCGGGAGAGGAGGTGGAGGTCAGTGAAGAGGAGGCAATGGTGATGCTGCTACCGCCGCCACTGCTGCTGCCCATATTGTTCGATGAGCTGAAGAGAGTGCCATTGTTCAGTGACAGCTTGGCTCTCTCCGACGACGACTGACCACCAGCACCACCTCCGGTGACAAGGAGAACATTAGGACTAGAGGAGGCGGCGGCCATGACAGCGGCAGCAGAGGCCGAGGAGTTGACCACCAGTGAACACGAGGACGAAGAGGAGGCATCGGCTGCTTTGTTCTTGCTGCGACGCTTCGAGGAAAGACGCTTGTTGCGAGGCGTCCTTCGAATCGACGACTTGAATGAGCCCTAGTAAATTGAAAACAGAGAAAAATGTATTGATTAGTTATGTTTGTCCAAGTTGAGGAGCAAATGAAANTACCAGTGAACACGAGGACGAAGAGGAGGCATCGGCTGCTTTGTTCTTGCTGCGACGCTTCGAGGAGAGACGCTTGTTGCGAGGCGTCCTTCGAATCGACGACTTGAATGAGCCCTAGTAAATTGAAAACAGAGAAAAATGTATTGATTAGTTATGTTTGTCCAAGTTGAGGAGCAAATGAAAAAAAGAAACAAAGTATCACCATCACCACTAAATAAAAACAACAACGGAAACGGGAAAATCATGAGTACTGATTATTAATTAGGTGGGTGGGAAGAGAACCATTACCAGAAGCAATATCAGCAGCAGCAGAACACTGGTGCAATCATTGTCGGCGGTGAAAAGGGATGCAAAGCACGTTCAAATTACTGAGCTGCAAAGATCTACGATTTCACTGTCTCCCTCTCCTTCTAGCATCTCTTTTTCCCTTTTCTCCTTTGCCCGCATGACGTCGCCAGCCAAATAACGGCGGCAGCGGTTTCGGTTCTATCGATCCACTACTCAAAAAACGACGACGACCACTGAGCAAACGAAACCCTAGTCCCGATTGATTAATTGATCGACCGATAGTGAAAGAGAGAGTGGGAGGATGGCAGACAGTGCACACACACACACACACACACACACAACACAGACACACAAACCATTAATTGGCCTGTCTGTTGTCGCCAATAGCATCCGCATGGCGCAGCAAAACAATTGGCTCGATTGTCTCCTCGCTCCAGTCTGTGTCTACTACTACAGTAGCAATGCCATTATCTGCACAATGCAAAAAAAGGAAAATTACACTGTAGTACAAAGTAAACGAAACAAATGAGAGCAAGAGGAAAAGCAAACAAAAACTGAACGAGAGGGAAGTGAAAGTGAAGGCAAGAAAAGGCCAAATGCGAATTTTTCAATCAAAGGTTTAAGAGTAAAAGAGAAAGATAGAGAGAAAGAAGTGAGAAGAACAGGGCGCCAGAACAGCTGCTCTAGTCAGAACTCTCTTTGCATTCAACGACCGCAGCTGAAGTGATGAAAAACAAAGAAACCCAAGCAGTGAGTGTGCCAAAAAACCAAAAAATGTCTTTTTTACCTTCTTTCATTTTTTGAATGAACTAACAATCTAGCAAGGAATTCCGAGAAATTGGGCGCAAAGTGTGATTAAAGAACAATTAATTTGCGAATCGTGATAGCGGTGTGCTTGCTGAAAACAAAAGAGAAGCTGACTTGGTTTGACAAGACTGGCCTCTAGGTGTCTTCAGTAGTTCTCCAACACCCAACTTTTTTCTACTGCCAAACAATAGCCAAACTCAACATACATTCACACACACCTGTCTACAAAGTGTCTGCACACAAGTCAGCAGTAATGGGTGCAACGATGCATCAGATAACTGCACTACTGCTTCTGCTGCTGTCAACTTGACAGCATTTTCGCCGCGTACAAAAGCAGACAAATGAGCCTCAGAACTGTGCTTTTGTGCTGTGGGCGTTTAGCTAAACAAAAAAAAGAAAAGAAAAAAAAGAGCAATGAAAAGCAAAAAGAATAATTAGCGACACCTTCGCTAAAAAGAAAGAGAGATGGTGCCGAGACATTCCAGTGCATGCTTTACTTTGTAGTAAAACTGAAAACGGCTATTGAGAAAATGAGGCAAGGGAACATTACACTAGACAACAGCTAATGAATGCTTGCCTTTTGTGTAATTGTGTGTGATTGGGCAATCGTCGCCACTACTACCACAGTAAGCGACAAGGATGGCCAGACAAAACTGCTGCTAAACACTGTGGAAAAACACAAAGAATTCGCATCACAGAATCGGGTGCAGAATGCAGTGCCCATTATTGGCAAATAATGGTCGTCGGTTGCCGTTGTTATATTGTCTTTCGTAGAGTGCAATACAAAAAAGGGGCACAAGGGGCCAAACAGACTTCTGGCCAAGTATTCGTAGAACTGTGGTGTTGTGACTGTGCCTGTGAATAGGGGCAGCATACCAGACATCAGTCTGGAGAATAGAAGGAATACATTTGGCAAGTGCAGACGGGCATTGTGCCTTCAGCTACCAAACCAAGTTTGTCATAAGAGCAAACACTAATTAAGCGAACACTAATGGAGAGTAGAGAAGTCTGGGCCACCGCAGAGAAAGACGACGATTGCCTAGACAAAAATTACAGTTACTGTCGTTGCAAAATTAAGTTCACTTCTCTGAAAAATAGAGTAAATAATGCACTGTCTTCTAAAATGTGACCAGAAATATAAATAAACACATACATTATTATTTGAATCTTATAAATAAATAAGGCAATAATCAATAAATCAATCCGTGAGTAACGTTTGCTGCAGCTGTTTCAGTTGAAAATCATCACGACATTTAAAGAAACAAATATAAAATTTTTCAAACTAAGCTTATTTTGCTATGAGAGTTCACTGACAACAAAAACTGAAAAACACTGACGGTAGAAAAAACTAGAAACTGAAGTTTAGCGAAGCAAAAACCAAAAAAAAGTGAAAAGCTGATTTGATCACGACTGGCAGTTGGTAGGCCAATCGGTCGATAATGGGAGGGGAAGAGGAGCAGAAAAAAGGGACCAATTCGGTCGACCGAGGTCGGCAGTGGCACTGGACAGACTAATGCGGATGCACTCACTGAGACAACAAGCAACAGTGGGGCAAACTAAGTCGGCGAAAAAGCTCTTGCGTGCAAACAGAACAAAAGCAGCAGCGAAAAAAAGGACCAAACGAAGAAAGAAAAACAAAAACAAAAACCGATGATGGTTTTAAAGTTTAAAGTGATTATTTACTTAGACAGCCGCCGTTGTTAGTAGCAACAGCTAAAGTGCGCCATCACAGCACCCGGAAATAGAACACGAAAGTGCACTCTTCGGTGGATTAGCTTATGCTGTTTCTACAAGGTACGTCAAAAACGGTAAAAACGCAAAGGCCGCAGAAGATTTGAACACCTGAATGACAACTTTTGCTAGATCTGACAACCTAAAGAAATTCAATTGGAGTGACAAAAAACGTAGACTACGATTGCCGGTAAAAACTGGCTGAGGCTAGTTTGACTATTATTGCGTGGTTTGCCGGTGCTGCCAACAACGACGACAACAACAATGACAATAATTGTTCTGTGCAGCGTTAATCATTTAAGTGCTACAAAAAGAAAGGACAAAAAGACGGACAAGCGGGCAGCCAATTAGTNACGTAGACTACGATTGCCGGTAAAAACTGGCTGAGGCTAGTTTGACTATTATTGCGTGGTTTGTCGGTGCTGCCAACAACGACGACAACAACAATGACAATAATTGTTCTGTGCAGCGTTAATCATTTAAGTGCTACAAAAAGAAAGGACAAAAAGACGGACAAGCGGGCAGCCAATTAGTGTTTAGTTCACTTTGTGTGTAAGCAAACACAGACAGTCTGTGTCGATGTCAGTGTCCAGTTCGGCTGTCAGGGCAAATCAAAAGAAGAAATGACAACACGAGGACAAAAATGACAACAAAAAGAACAATGGGCGGTTGTGGTAGTAGATAGTCACAAAAGGAGCTAAAGCAATTGTGTAATTGCCCACTGGCAGTCGTTTGTTATTGAGGAAAATGACCACCAGCATAAATGAGGTTTTTTGCGCAAATCTGTAAATATCAATCACATGTCTTCCACTTCCTCATTGGAAACCTGCTTTGTGTTTCAGTAACCATTTTACTACAAACCTGCTAAAAATAGAAGTTGCTTTAGCAACAACAGACTGAGAATATCTGTCGATGGAACTGAAACTGAACCGCAGAGTCACATAAAATTCCACAATTTCTTTCCGGTATCTCTTCTCTACTACGGCTTGTCAAAAGTGCCCTTGTGTAGTGGGGGTCCGTGCAAATCATAGCAGTGAAGTGGCCATCCTCCACTACTACCACTACCGCTGCCAACAAATAGAAATATCAACGAATCGAAAACGAGGCATGAATAAAAAGGAAGCAAAGCAATGCAGTGTAATGCAATGCAGTGCAGCACCAAAGAACCATCACTGATGTGTGCACTTCAGGAATGCGCTTGCTTGCTGCTGCTGCTTGTGCCGCTGTTTGAGTGGAGCCGTTGTGTTAAATTGTGGTACACGTTCACAGTCCGCTTGGCACGGCCCGCGCAGCAGATCACACACTCACTAACATACAGTCAGCAGCAGCAACAGCAGAATAAGCAGCCTCAAAGCAAATTCAACTTGCAATAAAGTGAATATGCTTATGTGTATTCTAGTACTGCCTGTGCACACACCGCAAGTGAAGCCGACCACAAATAAAAGACACACATCTTTATCGTTTTATATAAATATTAGATTGCCTAAATTCAATAACAACTTGTTAGGTAGAGTGGAGAAAATAAAAGAAGCATGCTGCTAATGCCGTTTCACCATCAAACGGGGTGACCATGTTGAAAAGCAAAAACATTTTTTGTCTATTTTTACTACAGAAAAAACTTCATTTGGTGACAACAAACTATTTGTCAGTCACACTGAGTTACATCTTTCAAGGTTAACCTTGTGTATACGTTTCATCTGAATGCCATTAAAGTAATTCAGTCAAAGAGAAGTGAAGATGCCGTTTTCAAACATGTACAGCAGAATGAATGAGTCAACAAACTGAAATGGACAAACGTAGTGTTTATCGGCCGAGCTAGCATCATCCCTTGCCGTGCATCTGGCCACTTGAAAGAACTCTGAAAAGCAGCCTACACAAACACAGAAAAAAGTCTGCCGCCACCGCCGATAAGGTTACCCAAACTAGTGTCGGGTTCCGTTTTGGTGGCCGTTAATTGCGCGTTTCCTTAGAAAAAAGCAGACAACCAATGTTAAGAGAAAACTAACCTACAACTGACCAAAATAAGAAAGTTCAGCAGGCGCTAAAATAAACACTGGTATTTGGTTTTCAGGGCTGCAAAAAGATGAAACACCAGTATATCATTTGACAAAGAGCCAGAATTGCCAACAATCATCAAATCGTGGGTCGGTTTCAGTACTTCTCAGCAAATAATTAACGTCATTCTGTGTTTCGATTTGTATTAGCGTCATTAAGTGCTGTTAAATTTCACTCTCTAACGACAATAATTACAAGGCTGCAGCAATTAACACAAACGATAGATCTAAAACGAGATAATTGTACAAAAATCACTAATTTTTTTAAAAGTTGGCCTTTCTCTGTTATAAGCAAACAATTATCAAAACATTTATTCTTATCAGTTCTAAATCTAAAAGATCTATTATTTCAGGATCTACACAACAAATTTTTTTTAACTGAAGATTTGGATTCAGCGTACTTAAATAAGTAAAATTCTTTTAATTTTGTTTCTGTTTTCTCTCAAAAGCAGTGCTAAAATCGCTTTGTGTAATTCAAATCTAGTAAACTTACTTTGCGAGGCAGCTTGACAATCCAGGTTGGTGGCACAATGATCTGTGCGTAGTTGCCAAAATCACAAGCCTCTGTGAGCGTGCCTTCATTGATGCACTGCGCCTTATTGTGGTAGGACGCCTTACACCACGAACAGCTGACTGCAACCACTTCCTGCTAGGGTAGAAAACAAATACGAGTTATTAGTCACACAACGAGTTCCACACTAATGATTACACTGCCCTTTCACTGCTTATCAAATAAGCGAGCATAATCGGTGCTTTTTAAGGTTAAACGAACACCTACCTTGTTACCGCCAAATGTGAGCTTCGACTGAAATGACTTGCCACAGGACTTGCAACGACCCTTCTCATGACGCCGGTGCACCCAGTGGTGTTTTACAATCTGTTGCTAGAAAAGGTGAAATGACATAAAAAGAGACGTGCAAAGGAGGAATATTAGTTTAACATTGAAAAAGGAGATATCAAAGTATTCAGTTAGTTAGTTTACTGTGTTTCACATTAGATAGAGTAAAACAAGGTGAAAACTGGCAACACAACTAGTTACACAGAATGCGGCACAAAATTGCAGTTTAAAATGTCGCCTCCTCACTTTTTAGCAGTCTGCAGTGCTCACTGCCCAATGAAACACAAATAATATAAAAATGTCCAATACTTGCAAACTGAGCAATATGTTCCCAAGACACGCAATCAGTCTATGGACTTCAAGTGCAAGTCTCTCTAAGTGATATTTCTAACGTGAAAACAGAAAAAGAGAAAAGCAATTTAGCGACTTTGAGTTGAGTGAAATCTGTCCTGCCAACTCAACACGGAATAACGTCACCACCACCAGCAAATCTGACAGTAATAGGAAGTCATAATTTCAAGTAATGCTCATGTAAACGATTGACGCTTAGGGCTAGGTTGACTTTCCTAGCCTGCTGCTGCTGATAATGTGACAATAATTTTCCATTCTCAGTGCAAAAAGACTAGATTGAATGAAACAGTGTTTTTCACTTTTCTACTTTGCCTGCCTAGACAAAAACACATGTACGGACCAGACAGAGAAGCTGATGATGGCGGCGATGGTGGTGCTGGTGGTCTCCAAACACTTCATCAGTCATGTTGGTGAAAGTAATGAAAAGTGTGCAGTGCACACTCCACTCTAGCAAGTGTTTTACGACCAGAGCGTGTGTAAAGTACTTTGTAAAGCAATAAAAAAATAAAAAGAACAAAGTACAGCTGCTGCTGTGGTCGTCAATGCTGATCGCCAATAAGGAGAGCATACACACACATTCACAAAAGAGCTCACCCCTTTATGCTGATTAGCGCACAAGCACAGAAGAAGACTAATTAATGCAAATGAATCACTTAATCGGCACTGTTATGACTAGCACTCCGCCAGTGGTAACGTTGTGGCAAATGGTCTCTCTCTCTTTCTCGTTCTCTTTCCATGTCTAGTTGTAATTCAATTAGCTGGCTCACTAGCTAGTGCTGTGGTAGAGAGGAAGAAAACACTTGTATTTGAGTCATGGCAATTGTAGCTGCACCACTTGAGACACGCCTAATTAGATTACGCCACATTTGGGTCGATCAGTCCGCAGTCGGTCAGATCGGCAATGTCGGTGTGGAAGGGCTGCCAATGGCAACTCTGTCATCACCATTACAACTACAAGTGTCATAGGCCACTCTACAATTGACACCACACAACACCACAAGTTGACGGCTAATTACCGTCAGTCATTTTTCTGAACATCATTCTAAATTAATCAGGTTAACTTCAAAATTCGAATAACTAAAAAATTCTTAACAACCTCAACAATTGTAGACAACATACAATAAACTGGTTCAGATGAGCTGTACATTTTTTCAGTTGTTTCCTTTTGCTCATCTTGCCACCACACGACTTTTAATTCCACACTTTACAAACCTCACAGACACGTATCTCTTTTTATTGCCACTGAAAAACAATGTCAGAAAAAGACAATGTCGCCAAGGAAAACGTTGGCGGTAGTGCTGGCAGTAGTAATGCTGAAACGCCTCTCAAAAAAACCGCCAGCAGTCTACCGGCACCTCCATCCAAATCCAAGATCGTCGAGGGAAAATCCCCCAGCAAGGTAGGCTACTCGCAAAGCAAAACAGTCTGCAAGTCAGAGAAGAGCAAGTCCACCAAGTCGCGCAAGTCGCACAAATCCGGCAAACCAGGCAAAAGTCAACGTCACCCATTCAAGGGTGCCGAATCCTCGTTGACAGTGAACAGCAGCAGCTCTTCCAATGCCATCGCCGGTGGAAAAGAAAAAAGCAGCTCCCTCAAGGTCAAATCATCTGCTTCCACGTACTCTTCGGCCACTTCCATAGCGGCTGCCTCCTCTACGGGCAAGCTGGCCAAGTCCAAAGAGCGTTCGAGCAGTCGAAGTCGACAGTCAAAGCGAAAGGGGAAGGGGGTGATGACGCAGATCCTCAAACAGGTGCGCCATAACAAACGGGGCAAGTCGGCAAAGAGCAGCGAAAAGTCAGCCCGATCGGCCAAGTCGAGCACTGGAGGAGGCGGCAAATCGGCGGCAAAGGTGGCCAGCAAAAGTCGCTCCTCCAGCTCCTCCACCTCAGGACGAGCCAAGAAGAAGAAGACCTCGCGTAGTCTGCAGCAGCTGCACGTCCTCGAGAAGTCGGTCTTTCGCTCGCGAATCGAGGGCGCAGGAGCCGAGGGAAAACAGAACGCCAACGCCCCCAGCGAGCCGGTGCCCTACATCTGGGTGCAGACGGAGCTGAGCAAGACGGCGAAGACTGTCGCCGCAGGAGGAGCTCCTGGCGGTGCTGGTTCTGGTGGCGGTGGCCCTCTGGAGCGCACCAGTTCTCAGTCCTCTCTGGTGGGCAAGTCCATCCTCTACCTCGATGATGAGGTACCGCCGCCTGCTGCTGTCGAAAAGACCACTTCTAAGACTGCCACCCCCAGCACGACCACCACTACCAGCACGATCACCGATGATCAAGCGAACACCGCCTTCTCAATGGAGGAACTGGCGGAGGAGATCAGTCGCATCGAGTGCAACGACATCTTCGAGCCTGGCCCGCTCAGTTGGTTAAATAGTAGTGCCAGTGAGGCGGCGGTGGTGGTGGTCGGGGCGAGCACGTCGGCAGCGACCGTCGCACAGAGCAGAGCTGTCTGAGCTGAGCAGCCTGACCAGCGACACTGAATTGGCGGATGGCAGGCAGGCAGGCAGGCAAACATTTGAAAGTCGTCTTTACAATTTCTAATGTATCCCTAGTTTTTCATTCAGTAGCACATTAGTTTCTTATTACTCACTGCTTTGTACTTTGGTGGCAGTCAGCCAACCGACCAGACAGCACACACCACCGCCTGCTGTACATCTTTCTCTTTTCTTTTCTCATTAAACTTCTACAAAACAGCACTGATTCAGTTATGAGAGAAGTTAGCCCACTAAACACCGCTCCAGTCCACCACAGCCACCTGTCTTTCCCAGCAATCTGTTCTCTGGAATAGAATTTCTGAGAAATGCTCCGCCGGGCTTAGCTAGTCCTTCATGTGCAGCTCACAACAATTGTCATCACACAAAACCGGCAACACAAACAGTAGACTGGGGCACTGAATTTTAATACAATTCTCAATTCTTTCCTTTTTTTCCTCTTCCTCCTCGAATTGCCATTCTCTGACTGCTTTGTTTTTTAATTGCTTCATTACTGCCCGACCTAGTATCATCACCAGTTCACATGCGGCGCCAAGTGGAAACAATCAACCAGCCCGTCATTTATGCTACTGCTGCTTCTGCTGCAAACGAATTTTGCAGAGAAATGCACAGATTATATAATTTGAGTACCAGGTGAGCGCGCCTCTGCTCACTGATAAGAAAAAATCGGCACTGAGCAGAAATTAGTGCAACGGGTAATCAGACTCTGCAGCAGTGTCACCCTGTACAGCCATCGGAAAGCTGAAGCCGAGAGATAGCCGACTGCTTGCAGCTGTCGCTGATGCTTTAGCTCCCTCATTTTCTCGTCCCCTGGTAATTGCATTTTCCATTTGTACGCTTCTTTTTACTGCTGTCCCCCACCGCCCTCCCTCCCATCTGCTGCTACACTTGCCAATTTGCCAGTAATAAATTCATTGACGTAAACTGGTGGTGGTGGCGGTGGGCTGTCGGTTGGTCCGGGACAAAACCACTGTGTATTAGTGCAAGAGAAAAGAAGAAGAAAGGGAAACAAAGAGAAAACAAACACTAGGAGCAAAAGTGAAGAAAACAAACTAAAGGAAAGTAAAGAAGAGAGAGGGAGAAAAACGGAAAAACGAAACACTGATTCTTCTCCTGCAACACAGCCAGAAGTTGGCGTTTGATTTCCAGTGAGCACAATTAATGCAAATGAAGCAAAGAGAGCAATGAACACAGCAGTAGATGCATGCAGCACATCCCGGGGAGCAGTTACCACCATCAAAGCTGATTCCAAACTGGTGAAAACGGGTGAGGCAAATGTGCCACACACACTTTGCGCCCACCATCACCAGACACAAGGCTCAAACTGAAATAAGGGAGTCCCCCACCTACGCACGTTCCCTGATAAGAAACTGCGTCCTAGCTATCTCTGTTAACTTATCGACTGCTGCAATTATTAGCATTACCAGTCTCCTAGATTGAGAGCGAAAGCACATTGTCATTGCCGAGAAGAATTGCTCTCTACAAAAATTCCTCTGTCAATAGTAGTTAAGTATGCAAATGCACGACCAACCAAGAGAGAGAGAGAGAGAAAGAGAGAATGAGAGGACGCTGACGAAGACAGTCGCGATTGACAATGTGCAAATATAAAGATTCAGAGAACTGACAAGGGAGAAAGCGACATTGTGCAAAGCTAAGCAAAAAGAGAATAAGAGGAGTTAGAGTGAACTTCCTTCAAAACTGTGATTTTTTTCCTTCACTCCAAAAAAAAGTAAAGTGTCGGTAGTGAAGATAAAGTCGCGTGCTTCTCGATGCAGCCGTTTTCTAGTCGTTTAGTTGCTGTTGCTCTAGTCAAAGTTGGTAATTGGCCCAATTCATAGGTTCAAGTTCAACGCAAAGAGCAAAAGCAGTAAAAGAAGCACCAACAAAAGCAATAACACTGACTCATGTCCGGGCCAAGAAGAGCAGTGTCGTCTGATCAATACAGACAGGCTCAGTCATACAGTCTAGTGGAAACCAGTCTTTGCTCTACAGACCTAGATCTGTCAGCGTCAAGGGAGAGTGGTGATGGTGGTGGTGGTGACGATGGTGAGAATGATGGTTGTAAACCATCAGAGAAAAGCCAAAGACCGGAAAGTGAGACCCTCTCTGGCTACATTCATTAAGTGCGCCTGATGGAGGGGAAAGAGAGAGAGGGTACACACTAAGCAATAGTATTACTGCAACTACTACGACATTCATTAATGGAAATTGTAAAAAGAGGAGAAGAAAGGGAGGGCGATTCACTTTCCCAGTGCTCAGAAGAGAATGGAGATCGTCACTGGGACACAAAGTAGAGCAGTGGACGCATAGATCACTTGTCTCTTCTTACTGACTGTACAACAGCGAGTGTGTGTGTATAGAGAGAGTATCGTCTGCATCGACAGGGCAGAAGTAATTGATTTATTCGCTGACTTTCTGCCGGGCAACAGACATCAGCGACCAGGCAATATGCAGCTGCCCATTACAGCTACTTTCTCTCTCTCTCTTTTCCTTCTATTGCTTTTATCGTATTAGCTGTCCAGCCGAATACTGCTTTTTTGCTGCTAGCTCTACTGTAGCTAAATGAATTGAGCACTGATGTCAGTGCAGCTGCCGGGTAGGAGAGCGAGAGAATGAAATTTCCGCTTCCGTAAACAACAGTCAAGCAGTGCAGCTCCGAGGGGATCTGCAAACGGTTGCTGCTGCTGATGCTGCTGCTGTCGATTGGGGATTGATATGTAACATATCTTCCGCCAAAATGTGATGCTGCAGCAGCGCCTTCGTCAGCAAACACAACGGTTATTAGTGAAATGAAAAAGAAAAGAAGAGGCTGAACGGTAGTTAAAAAGGGAAGCTCTCTGGTGAAAACTGCGCAGTAAAAGGGCGAGAATAGAAAGATGGCGAGAGATGGTGGCATTCATTAAATTTAGAAAGTGTATGTATACACTTGGAGGCCGTCTGAGAGAAAGAAGGGGAGAGAGAGCGATAAATCTGGGAAAGCACACACTTGCAATCGGGCAATGATTGCCAACATTAACGAGATTAGTGGGATATAAATAAAGCTCAAAACTAAGCTAAGCAGATGTATTTAAAAATCGGTGCCACTGCTGTACAGTGGCACTGGTGATGAGGAGGACGACGATGACGACAACGGGCGGCGACCATGACAACGATTGACAACAACGGAGGAGTAAAATAACTGCTACTGCTAAACTTACTAAGGAAATCCTTCAAACTAACAAGAGAGAACAAACGATCTATTTAAAAAGTCGACTTACCTCTCGGTACTGTCGAACGCCGTCCTTGAAGGTAGGTTTGCAGTGAATCTTCATTTTGTCAATGAGAATGCTGATGCAGCCAGTGTGGGCAATCACTTTGCACACCGGACAGCACAGTCTT